AATACCATCTAGTCAAGTATGAGTCTATAAGTGCCCAAATGTTCAAATAAATGTCCTTTTTGTTCAGCTAACTGTATTTAATGTGGAACTTTCTGTAGTTGAGCTGGAGGTAACAATCAAAGCTTCACTGATTCTCTCGGGCGAGGGTCCGACAGACGGACACACAGTCGAAACATTAAAAGGTAAAAAAGGAAAATGTGTTTTTATCCAAATAATAAACTACTTATGCAGCTTTCTGTGCACAGATCACACTAGTCTGAAATGGAAGTGGATGCCTTTAAAAATGGAGAGAAAATCTTATATTGCACAAACTGTCTGGGTCTATTCCTAAAACAATGTGGAAAATAACCCAAAATATATGAACTGAAAAAGGCTGTATGTAAAACAAGCCTTGTATGATGCGTGAGCTGTTCAAAGACAGAACGGAAATCTAATAATAGTCTCAAACAAAAGGATAAAGGTCCACAATGTGCTGCGGCAGAATGAGCAGAACTGTGTGGGACTGTTACGTAAGAATCTGCTCAGATCACAGCGAGCAGCGGAGAGACAGGGAGAGGAACGATCTACACATGTTTACTGTACTATATCATACACCAGAGGTTTACTGTAACAATATTAAACAAAAGAGAGATGTGTATAATGTTGATGATAACATGTTTCATCTTCTAAAACAGGAGGCTTCGACCTAATTTACCCAGAGAGCTACCAGCTTCATGTACTCCTGCTGCTAGCTTAGATTAGCTACTGTTACTATCAACGGTCAGTATTCCCAATGTATTCCCACTTGGCCATGTGAATTATACACTATGGAATATTTTGCATAATTATCCATCCATCCATCCATTTTCAACCCTTTAATCCATTTCTGGGTCAGGGGGGTGGCAATCAGAGATGCCACCCAAGTCTCATAGCACCACACAATCCTTTGGGGAGCTACTTGGAAGGGGGTGGTGAGCTACTGGTAGTTCCCGAGCTAGAGGTTGGAGACCCGCGTTCAAAAACATGACAAAGAAAATGTCATTATCATTCTTAATAGCCACAAAAAAATGTCATTTTTCTGCACCTACTTGAAGCACTAACTGAGACAAACTAAGAAAGCTTTGGATTGCTGTTAAATATAAAACATAAAATATATTCCTTCATTGCCCTCATACATTTTCTACTGAATTGGACCCATGCAAGTTGAGGGCCAGAGCTGTGAAACCCCCACAAGGCATCATTAAAGGAGCAATATGTAAAAATCTGGCCAAAAGTGGTACTGCACTCTCTCTGACTCAGGTTGCCAGATATGCAGACAAACCGAGCTGGAACGTGGATCTATTATAATAACTGGATAGGGTATTACTAGGTTGGAACTGAAGAACCCATGTGCTCGGGGGATTCTCCCGATACCGCACACTAAACCGGACTAAATTCACGTGAGCTACCCAGAAATGTTCCCCATAGAACTCAATGTAAACTAAAACAGCTCGACCTCAGCTAAAAGAGAACCTACAGCTTTCATAAAGATTGGATTTTGTGGGGATTTTAGTGTCCCTTGTCATCCTAAACTTTTTTTCTTCTTAAATCCTTTGGTTTTCTTTAAATCCACACTTTAGTGCCACAAACTCTGCTCGTCTGGCTCCCGCTCTGAGGATCAGCTCTGATTGGTCAGAGCGCGGCCGAGCCCCTCTGTGCACGAGCATGAGAGCCTTGGGCCCCGTCCCAATACCCACACTGCACCCTACACACTTCTACGAAGTGTGCATTTGTTCGAAGTGCACACCAGGGTTTGAGTGCGCAGGTTACAAGTGTGCAAAAAAGGCAGAATTGGGACAGTGCACACTGAGTGCAGGATACGTCATCGACTCGTCAAGAGATGGTCATTTTCAGACCTAATAGCCTGCATAGATGCAGGCTACGCCGAAGTGTGGATCAGGGGCGCAAAGGGGGCGGGGCCAAAGACCTCCCTGGAGAATTGGGACACCCTACGCACTCACACCCTTTATCGGGAACGCGCAAATGAGGGGCGCGAGGCTGGAAGTGCGAGTATTGGGACGGGGCCACACACACGAATTTGGCGCAAAGCATCATGGGAGTTCATCCACTGCACAGAACCGGGAGGACCAGACGATGCCCAAATACAGGCAAGTTTCCCATGGATCTTTGCGAGTTCCAGGCGACTTCCGCTAATCTTTCAGCCCCCATGCCGGCACAATTCACCACTGAGCACAAACCATTCATTTGAATACGATTTGAATCTTGGATCGCCGGGGCTTGAGCTGGAACCATAATATCTGAATAGACAAGAGTTTTGTCAACAACAAATCCATAACCAACACATATTTCCCAAAGGCCCCGCATGAAACCCTGTATAATAAATGATGTATAATGTTAATAACAGTGGAGTGAGGAGAGCTGGAAGAGCAGAGCGCCCTGAGAGCAGCGTGGGAACACAACACTGACTCACACACTCCCACATCAAACACTGTCATTTACATATGATGAGATATTACACACACCACACTCTAACGAATCCTCCAGCTGTAATAAGCACACCATGAAATGCACCTGCGGCCATGGACCATAAATCCCTCTCTGTGCGTCTGTACCATGAGGCTGCTGGTCCCGGGACAGAGACACAGCTGCACCGGTCTCTACAGGTGCACAATGTGTTTCTGATGTCACACACTTCAGGACAGGAGGCCTCCACTCAACAAGTGTGAAAGGGCCACCCTCAAGCCCACTATCTGCTACTGGATTATTGCTGCAAACATTCCTCAGATTCAGATTCAGTTAAAACCAGATTGGAAACATGTGCAAAAGTCCTCGGTGTCATCAGACATGAACGAGAACCAAACAAAGTAATAAAAGTACAAAAGGAACAATCCTAACTGTGAAGGTAATCAAGAAAAACAGCTTCAATACAAGATTGTGAAAGTTCTTTTTTCAGACTGATAACAGCTGAAAGAAGCTATTAGCATGCTAGCATATCCAGATGTCCTGCAGCCAACGACATCTTCTGACCGAGGGAAGAAGCTGGAACATGGCTTTTCCAGGAGCCAGAAGAGAGGAGGAGCATCTCTCTCTAGTTTCCCTCTCTGGTTTCTGTTCTGGTCTCTCTTTGGTGTCTCTCTGGTCTATCTCTGATCTCTCTCTGCTCTCTCTTGTCTCTGTCTGGTCTCGCTCCTTTCAGAAACTTTCAATGCTGCAGCGATAAAAGTAAAGCAGAATCTTGGAGTTTGTGGTAAATTCTTGTGGTTTGTGGTAATTTAAGTTAAGTTTCCGTAGAAAGAAAAGACAGTTATGATCTTTCTTAACCTGATCAGTGTTAAGGAAAGACAGAGTTGAACCCAAAAACAAGCCTCATTCCCGTTGAACTCTGCATTAAACTTGACTAGTCTTTCTGCCGAGGCGGGTTCAGTGTGAGCTCCCTGACCAAACAGTGGTCATTTAGACAACAATAAAACCAAACTGTTTATGGCCTGTGATGCGGTCGCTGTATCGGACCGTTGTGGTAAAGAGGGAGCTGAGCCGAAAGGCAAAGCTCTGGATTTACCGGTCAATCTTCGTTCCCTCCCTCACCTATGGTCATGAGCTTTGGGTAATGACCGAAAGAACGAGATCGCGGATACAAGCGGTCGAAATGAGCTTCCTCTGCAGAGTGGCTGGGCGCTCCCTTAGAGATAGGGTGAGGAGCTCGGTCACACGGGAGGAGCTCGGAGTAAAGCCGCTGCTTCTCCAAGTCGAGAGGAACCAGTTGAGGTGGCTCGGGCATCTGTTCCGGATGCCTCCCTGGGGAGGTGTTCCGGGCACGTCCCACAGGGAGGAGGCCCCGGGGAAGACCCAGGACACGCTGGAGGGACTATTTCTCTCAGCTGGCCTGGGAACGCCTTGGGGTCCCCCCGGACGAGCTGGAGGAAGTGTGTGTGGATAGGGAAGTCTGGGCGTCTCTGCTTAGACTGCTGCCCCCGCGACCCGGCAGCGGATGAAGCGGAAGAAAATGGATGGATGGATGGATGGATGTTTATGGCCTGTTGCTTTCATGGGGCTCGGCAATGTCAGTTTAATCTTACATTTGGACCATAAAGCATGTATCATTGTATCACAGACAAACTCTTTGAAATGGTGCACGACACACTGTATAGACCCGGTAGAGGACTGTTGTTTTGTTAGGAGTCTGAGGCCCTTTGTCTCTCCTGATAAGTCTGCTTAATCACATCTGACACATTTCCTGCAGAAAGGGAAGTAGGTTAACTCCCTCGGCTGTCCCCATCCCATTCCCAAATCTGTGAGTTATTTTGGGAACTTTGGGGATTTCGATTATTTTAAAGCCTCACAAACGCAGCTTGGTCAAAGTAACTTGGAGGCGATTCTTTTGTTTTAAAGGCAGAGTGAGAGGTTTGGGGGGAGCTAAAGTGAGGGCACCAGAAAATGAGATGGGAAAAAATGAAAAGAATTGAAATATGCAGGAAGGAAAGAAGAGGGTGACTTAAGTTATAAAAGAAGAAAATCCCTGGTTACCGTAACTTAGAAGTTCTTTGTTTAAAGATGGACGTCAGTATATTAGCTGGAACTGATCTGAAGGAAAGGACCATTTGATTTTTGAGTCATCCTTTTGCATAATTTCTAGGGTTGCTTTGTCTATTTGTCGTAAAGATCCACTGCCCCCTACTGGCTGGGCGCTAGAACTATATTGTTTTCCGTCTTTGTGTAGACACTTGGCCCTTTGAATCCGGAGCGGGGTTGTTTGAGCCTGGCAGTGTCTCCGTGTAAACTGGGCCTTTGCCTGTAGCTCCCTCTGTGTTCACACCATGTGGCTGGTACCATGTGTGAGCTTACGCAGCACCTGCCCCTCCCCTTCTATTATCCTGCTGCAGAGACCTGACCTGCCCTGGACCCTCTGACCCCTGGATCCTGGGACCCCTGGACCCTGAGACCTCTGGACCCTGAGACCCCTGGACCCTCAGACCCTGGACCCTCAGACTCATGGACCCTCAGACCCCTGGACCCTCAGACTCATGGACCCTCCGACCCTCAGACTCCTGGATCCTCAGACCCTGGACCCTCAGACTCATGGACCCTCCGACCCTCAGACTCCTGGACCCTCAGACCCATGGACCCTCAGACCCCTGGAACCTCAGACCCATGGATCCTTAGACCCCTGGACCCTCAGACCCTGGACCCTCAGACTCATGGACCCTCCGACCCTCAGACTCCTGGACCCTCAGACCCCTGGACCTCAGACCCATGGACTCTCAGACCCCTGGACCCTCAGACCCATTGACCCTCAGACCCTGGACCCTCAGATCCCTGGACCCTCAGACCCTGGACCCTCAGACTCATGGACCCTCCGACCCTCAGACTCCTGGACCCTCAGACCCATGGACCCTCAGACCCCTGGAACCTCAGACCCATGGATCCTTAGACCCATGGACCCTCAGACCCTGGACCCTCAGACTCATGGACCCTCCGACCCTCAGACTCCTGGACCCTCAGACCCATGGATCCTTAGACCCATGGACCCTCAGACCCTGGACCCTCCGACACTCAGACTCCTGGACCCTCAGACCCATGGACCCTCAGACCCCTGGAACCTCAGACCCATGGATCCTTAGACCCATGGACCCTCAGACCCTGGACCCTCAGACTCATGGACCCTCCGACCCTCAGACTCCTGGACCCTCAGACCCATGGCCCCTCAGACCCCTGGAACCTCAGACTCATGGACCCTCCGACCCTCAGACTCCTGGACCCTCAGACCCATGGCCCCTCAGACCCCTGGAACCTCAGACCCATGGACTCTCAGACCCCTGGAACCTCAGACCCATGGACTCTCAGACCCCTGGAACCTCAGACCCATGGACTCTCAGACCCCTGTAGCGAACACAGAGCTCCCACAGTTGCCTTAGAGTTCACCAGTTCCTCCACACTTTACATGAAGTTCTACTGGAAGTGTGATGTTTCACTTTTACTTTCAAACTAATTAATGAAATAACTAAACACACCACAGTTATGTCACAGAGGGTTATATCACAATATTGTGCACAAAAAATAATAGAAAGCTTTTGTATTAAATCAAACAGTATTTTACAAAGTGTATTTGAATTACAAATGATACGACACATACAAATGACCAAAAACACAGATTTACTTTGGAAAGACCTCAACAAAGAAACAGACTGTGAAGTGAAAGAAAAAAATCTATGCGTTTAAACAAATCAAGCTCTGCCAGAGATGGCGAGCTCCGTTGTTTTTTAAGTCTGGACTTTGGCTGAAATCATGAGTCATTCTGATTTCACAGTCGTCTGTTACTCACATGTTTGTGGTCGTGAACATGATTCAAAAGTTCAGGTTTGTACCACTGTACATATAACTGTATTTAAACACTGTGGTTGAGAAAAGGCCAGATTATAAAGGATGTTGATTTATTAAATTGTGTAGGAGTCAGATTCTGCTTCTGAAAAGTACTTTGTGAAGTGCAGCAGTTTCCAGGCAACAGACTGAAGCAGCAGCGGAGGTGGAGGTCAGGTTTGAAGGTTCAGACTCAGTCCAACACAATGAACACATTCACCAACGTGCCACGGCTCACGGGTTGAACAACACTGACTTAGTGTATGGTGCACTATATGTGTAACGCAAGAGTTTGATATAACTATAAGAAAAGAAAAAACAAGGACAAGGAATGAAAAAATAGTTTGTGAACTTAAGATATTTGAAGAGTAATTTCACCCTGAACCAGAGCTGAATACAACAGGAGAAGATTGTTGATTTGACTCCTTTACATCTTGTCTAAAGTCTATGTTTTCTTCTACACCTCCCACATGTCGACATATGGAAGTTTTGCATGACTTCCTGACCAAGTCCCACTGACCGCCGCAGCCGCACATGTATGTGGAGAGTCATGCTCTGTGATGTCACTAATCTGCAGGAGGATTAGAGGCTTCTTCTTCTGCTGCGGTGGAAGTGCGGTCCTGAGCTCAGCCTCAGCGTCACATCTTTGAGCGATGTCACATATAGTTGCCAGAAAAGGACCTCCACACACACACACACACACTCCATTCATTCACATATCTGAAACAGCTGTTGTTTTGTGTTTTACTATTGTCATTTCCCCTCTTTTTTTCTTCTTTTTTTTAGCTGTATATGTTATTGCAGTACAGTGTTCATGGTTTTACACTGATTCAGACCAGAGCAGAGAGGATGGTCCCAACCAAACAGATACAACGGAAATACACCGGAGGAATTTCACTCTGAACCAAGCAGACTCTACAAACATCAATCAGAGGAAGCAGCTCATCACCAGCGGCTTCACCACCTACTGCTGCTGCTGCTGCACTTTATTACCATTATTAGTCACTTTTAAAATAATGATTATGATTTATTTGTTTGGATGGATGTGTTTCTGCTGCTGGACTCCTGAGTTTTTCCTTTGGGACAAGTGGGAAAAGCACAGGGAATAAATACTCACAGCGAGACACTGACAGACAGTAAGCAAACACAAACTACAAGAAGACTATACTGAATAGCAAACAAAACCAGTTAAATATAATCCAAAAGTCCACATAGCAACAGTGACGCTGGCTCCAACACAGCGGTCATGTTGTCTATTTCAATTCGGGTTCATTGATGAAAGAAAAGCTGATGCAGTATTTATCTTGGACACAGTGCAGATCTGTGAACACCGTGCTGCTATTGTACCGTCGTCTGATTTGATCCAATAATGAATGAATGAGAGGGTTTCCTGGAGGAGGTCCAAGGCTGCAGCCCGCTCCACACTGACCCCGACTGTACTTTCAAACACGCCACAGTTAGGACCTGCTCACACACACACACGCACGCACACGCAGGCCGATTCAGCACAGGGCCAGGCTAAGGTGATGCCAACGAGCGCTGAGAGCAGTCAGAGAGACTCACAAAGACATCCCACAGCCTCGTGCTGCTAATGTACAGATGTAAACATACAACTAAATATCACTGCACTAGAATATACAGGATTTTACACTTGCTTCTTTATAATGTTCAAGTTAGAGGTTTTGTTTTATTCTAGTCTAGAGTTATTGATCATTTCTCTTGTGCTGTATGTTGTTGAGTCCAAAGGCAAAACACAGTATGAGTGGAACGTGATGATAAAGAGTGGATTCTACAGATTATAAAGTTTCAAAACTATACAACTATAAATGTGTGTATAGTGTGAATTAGTGCAGGTGACTCTGAGATAATTGTGTTTAATGTTTCCTACACTTGGAATGATAGATCACAAACAGACTCTGATGCTCACAGAGCAGGTCAGTGCAGTCAGCATGACTGCTGCTTTTCCAGAGTGTCATTGTTACCAGCAACTGATGGTCTGAGTCTGAATGAGGCGTGATGTTCTGTGGGAGAGGAATACTGGTGGAGGACTGTGATGTCACATGCAAAGGGCTCACAGTGGGGTTCCACCTGCAGGCCTGTCTGTGCACATTTAATGTTCATAGGTCTGTTTCAATATGACTACATTTCTGTTTGAATTGTTTGATTCTCGGATCTGTTACGGCGGCTGCTGTGATTTGGGGCAAAAATACAACACTAAATGTAATTGAAAAGATGCTTAATAACCTCCTGTGTCTGTGCTTCAGATGCTCTGCACCAGGCCAGGTCACACAACTAAGACATGTTGTAAGACTAACATAACTTGCCTTTTAAGTATTTAAAGTCCTCCATCTCTAAAGCGGTCTGTGCAGATGCATGTGCTCCCAGGACGTCAGCAGAAAGAGCACAGCTCCTCAGTGACGCAGGACCCAGTTCATCTCCAACGACCCAGATACAGTTTCACTCTGTGTCGTCTGGACTGTCACTCTCCACATGTCACTCTCCACATGTCACCCTCCACACGTCACTCTCCACATGTCACTCTCCACATGTCACTCTCCACATGTCACTCTCCACATGTCACTCTCCACACGTCACTCTCCACACGTCACTCTCCACATGTCACTCTCCACATGTCACCCTCCACATGTCACTCTCCACACGTCACTCTCCACATGTCACTCTCCACATGTCACTCTCTACATGTCACTCTTCACATGACACTCTCCACACGTCACTCTCCACACGTCACTCTCCACATGTCACTCTCCACATGTCACTCTCCACACGTCACTCTCCACATGTCACTCTCCACACGTCACTCTCCACATGTCACTCTCCACACGTCACTCTCCACATGTCACTCTCCACACGTCACTCTCCACATGTCACTCTCCACACGTCACTCTCCACATGTCACTCTCCACACGTCACTCTCCACATGTCACTCTCCACACGTCACTCTCCACACGTCACTCTCCACATGTCACTCTCCACATGTCACCCTCCACATGTCACTCTCCACCATGGATCTATTATATTAACTGGATATGGTATTACTAGCTTGTAGCTGAATAACTCATGTGCTCAGGGGATTCTCGCGGTACTGCAGACTGAACCAGACTAAATTCACGTGAGCTACCCAGAAATTTTCCCCATAGAACTCAATGCATATTAAAACAGCTCAACCTCAGCTGAAAGAGAACCTACAGCTTTCACAAAGATCGGATTTTGTGGGGATTTTAGTGTCCCTTGTCATCCTGAACTTTTTTTCTTCTTAAATCCTTCGGTTTTGTTTAAATCCACACTTTAGTGCCACAAACTCTGCTCCTCTGGCTCTGGCTCTAACTCCCGCTCTGATAAACTGCTCTGATTGGTCAGAGCGCAGCCGAGCCCCTCTGTGCACGTGCGTGAGACCCGGTGTGAGACCCACACACGCGTGTTTGGCGCAACGCATTATGGGAGATCATCCACTGCACAGAACCCGGAGGACCAGACGATGCCCAAATACAGGCGAGTTTCCCATAGATCTTTGAGAGTTTCCCATAGATCTTTGCGAGTTTCAGGCAACTTCCGCTAATCTTTCAGCCCCCATGCCGTCACAAAGCGCCACTGAACACAACCATTCATTTGAAGAGGGCGCCATCTTGGATCGCCGGGGCTTGCACATGTCACCCTCCACATGTCACTCTCCACATGTCACCCTCCACACGTCACTCTCCACATGTCACCCTCCACATGTCACTCTCCACATGTCACTCTCCACATATCACTCTCCACATGTCACTCTCCACACGTCACTCTCCACATGTCACTCTCCACATGTCACTCTCCACATGTCACTCTCCACACGTCACTCTCCACATGTCACCCTCCACATGTCACTCTCCACATGTCACTCTCCACATGACACTCTCCACATGTCACTCTCCACATGTCACTCTCCACATGTCACTCTCCACATGTCACTCTCCACATGTCACTCTCCACATGACACTCTCCACACGTCACTCTCCACATGTCACTCTCCACATGTCACTCTCCACACGTCACTCTCCACACGTCACTCTCCACACGTCACTCTCCACACGTCACTCTCCACATGTCACTCTCCACATGTCACTCTCCACATGTCACTCTCCACATGTCACTCTCCACATGTCACTCTCCACATGTCACCCTCCACATGTCACTCTCCACATGTCACTCTCCACATGACACTCTCCACATGTCACCCTCCACATGTCACTCTCCACATGTCACTCTCCACATGTCACTCTCCACATGACACTCTCCACACGTCACTCTCCACACGTCACTCTCCACATGTCACTCTCCACATGTCACTCTCCACATGTCACTCTCCACATGTCACTCTCCACATGTCACTCTCCACATGTCACTCTCCACACGTCACTCTCCACACGTCACTCTCCACACGTCACTCTCCACATGTCACTCTCCACATGTCACTCTCCACATGTCACTCTCCACATGTCACTCTCCACATGTCACTCTCCACATGTCACTCCCCACACGTCACTCTCCACATATCACCCTCCACACGTCACTACTCTCTACATGACACTCTCCACATGTCACTCTCCACATGTCACTCTCCACATGTCACTCTCC